TGGGCAGTCAAGGGTCACAACCGTTGACTGTCTTCGACTGTTGACCTTCGGGTGACCCTCGAACTTCCGCGTGCTCTATACGAGCTCATGCGGTACTGGTACAAGCACCTGCTTCGCTATGAAGAGATGCGATAGTGGAGAGTCTTCGGGAATGCTTGTGATAACCTTTCGGTTATCCCAACAACCCTGTTGGGGGGGGGAGACAGAACACAAAAGGAAACTGGATACTGTCCAGGGGCAGGTGAAAATTAATATGTGACTCTGTTGGGGGGGAGACAAAACACAAAAGGACACTGGATACTGCCCAGGGGCAGGTGAAATTCATATGTGACTCTGTTGGGGGGGGAGACAGAACACAAACGGATACTGGATACTACCCAGGGGCAGGTGAAAATTATTATGAGACCCTGTTGGGGGGGGAGACAGAACACATAAGGATACTAGGTGGAAATTATTATGTGACCCTGTTGGGGGGGGAGACAGAACACAAAAGGATACTGGATACTGCCCAGGGGAAGGTGGAAATTATTATGTGACCCTGTTGGGGGGGGAGACAGAACACATAAGGATAGGCAGGTGGAAATTAATACGTGACCCTGTTGGGGGGGGAGAGAGAACACAGAGCAAACTGCAGTGAGGAGGGAGAGTTTTGAGAGTGAGTTTCAAGACGTCTCTCGAAACTCACAAGAGAGAACAGAACTGCCACCGGCAGTTCACTACTGGATTTGAGGCGCCTCAAACCAGCAAACGAGGTCCTGCTCTGCTTCCCTGCAACCTGTGTTCCCTGCAACCTGTGTTCCCTGCAACCTGCTTCACCCCCTGTTCTGCTTCGCTGCAACCTGTGTTCCCTGCAACCTGCTTCACCCCCTGTTCTGCTTCGCTGCAACCTGTGTTCCCTGCATCCTGCTTCACCAGGCAAAGCGAAAAAGGCAACAACCATGCATCAGAACGAACAAACCAGCTAACGCAAGTGCAGAACGAATAAAGCAACAACAAAGCATCTGAACGACCAAACAAGCTAACGCAAAAAAGAGGAAAACCATTGGCAGCACATAGTTACTCCACCTCTGTGCTTGTTCGCTCCATCGCTCCCTAAATCGAGAGCAGCAAAGGAGATCCTCACCAGCAGTGGCAGGGGATTCTCCTTTGCCTCCTCTGCTCCTTTGCTCCTTCAAACTTTCGCACGCCTCCTCTCCTCAGCTGCTCCTCCTCCTCTGATGCAGGAGGCGAGGAGGAGAGGAGGCGAGGAGGCGAGGAGGAGAGGAGGCGAGGAGGCGAGGAGGCCAGCAGTGGCACCAGCGGTGGCAGCAGCAGTGGGAGCAGAAGAGAGGCCCGCAGAGACGTTATTGGTTGCAGTAGCAGTGGCAGCAGAAGGGGAGGCGAACCAGCAGAGGAGAGGAAGGAGAGGCAAAGGAGATGGAGAAGAGGAACAAAGATGCAGCATTGCAGAGACATGGAATGCTTGACATTTCAAGCTTTTGGAACTGCTTTCACATTACAAGAGATGTTAACTGTTGAATCTGATGACGTAGTACGTAGAATAAGATTTTACGGGGCTAATGTTCACGGCCTACCTAGACAGTGATGGTGGATCGGAGGTAAGTGCAACATGATTCAACTTCTTCCGCAAGCGTTTTTGGCATTGTTCAAGATCTAACCTGTTGCTTTCTTCCCGCAGACCTCTTGACCACCCACTTGGCACTAAGGCAAGCTCTTCACGACAGTTTCAATTTCTCGCCACCAATAGAAGTCGCTGCCGTCTCCCCCCGTCACCAACACGGAGACGGAGGGGGAGTGGTGCTGCACTGGAGGGGGAGTGGTGCTGCACTGGAGGGGGAGTGGTGCTGCACTGGAGGGGGAGTGGTGCAGAGGAGGAGCAGATGAGATGCATCAGGGGAGGAGCAGAGGAGATGCATCAGAGGCCTCGCCTCCTCTCCTCCTCGCCTCCTCGCTTCCTCTCCTCCGCTGCTCCTCGCCTCCTCGCCTCCTCTCCTCCTCGCCTTCTCGAGGGGGCTGGAGGCGTCTTGAAGTCTCGCGGCTGTCTGAAACGGAAAGCAACAACGACATTAGTACATGTGGAAAACAGAAAGCAGAAACTTGGAGAGCACTGACCGAGGGGGCTGGAGGCGTCGTGAAGTCTCGCGGCTGTCTGAAACGGGAAGCAACAACGACATTAGTACATGTGGAAAACAGAAAGCAGAAACTTGGAGAGCAATTACCGAGGGGGCTGGAGGCGTCGTGAAGTCTCGCGGCTGTCTGAAACGGGAAGCAACAACGACATTAGTACATCTGGAAAACAGAAAGCAGAAACTTGGAGAGCAATTACCGAGGGGGCTGGAGGCGTCTTGAAGTCTCGCGGCTGTCTGAAACGGGAAGCAACAACGACATTAGTACATGTAGAAAACAGAAAGCAGAAACTTGGAGAGCAATTACCGAGGGGGCTGGAGGCGTCTTGAAGTCTCGCGGCTGTCTGAAACGGGAAGCAACAACGACATTAGTACATGTGGAAAACAAGAAAACAGAGATGGAAGATAGCTCACCGAGGGGGCTGGAACGTTGTTGATGTCTTCGTGACGGCTAAGACAAGAAGACACACACATAACAACATTAGGCATGCGACGACACAAGAAAGCAAAGAAGACAGCAGCTTACAACGGGTCCTAGCTGCTGCGTCCCCGTGTTGCTCCCGCCTTGGTGATGCCTCCTCCGTTCTTGCTGTACCTAGAGGAGGGGCACCACAAATTTAATCCTTTGCTGTTGCGTCCCCGTGTTGCTCCCGCCTTGGTGTTGCCCCTTGATGCTTGCTGTACCTAGAAGAGGGGCGGCACAGAAATTATATTTTGAAGGCGCCTCACTTGAAGGCGCCGCTCCACCTCCCGCTGCTCCTCTTATGTTGATCCTTTGCCCCCCAGGGGGTCAAAGCGCCTCACTTGAAGGCGCCGCTCCACCTCCCGCTGCTCCACTTGTGTTGATCCTTTGCCCCCCAGGGGGTCAAAGCGCCTCACTTGAAGGCGCCGCTCCACCTCTCGCTGCTCCTCTTGTGTTGATCCTTTGCCCCCCAGGGGGTCAAAGCGCCTCACTTGAAGGCGCCGCTCCACCTCCCGCTGCTCCTCGTGTGTTGATCCTTTGCCCCCCAGGGGGTCAAAGCGCCTCACTTGAAGGCGCCGCTCCACCTCCCGCTGCTCCTCTTGTGTTGATCCTTTGCCCCCCAGGGGGTCAAAGCGCCTCACTTGAAGGCGCCGCTCCACCTCCTGCTGCTCCTCGTGTGTTGATCCTTTGCCCCCCAGGGGGTCAAAGCGCCTGACTTGAAGCTCCACCTCCTCAAATCCACTGCTGACCGTCCTTGCTGCCCCGGCCTTCTGCCCAGTCTTGCTTCAGGACCAGCTGTGCAATTTTGCTCACTGCAACGCTTGCAGTGAGGAACATGCAAAAGAGTTTTAAGACCTGCTTTTGATCACTTCAGCTAAGCCGCAGTGAGAAGGAAGAGAGAGAAAGAGTGAGTGAGTTTCGAGATGTCTCTCGAAACTCACAAGAGGAGGGAGCGAGTTTTGAGATGAGAGGAGAGGAGAGAGGAGGAACGGAACACTGCAGTGCACTGCAGGACACAACAAAACTGGATTTGAGGCGCCTCAAACGAGGTCCTCACACCTCACATTCACTCTGACTCACTCTCACTCTGACCCTCACATTCACTCTCACCCTCGCTCTCCCCTCACTCTCCTCTCACCCTCGCTCTCTTCTCACTCTCCTCTCACTCTCGCTCTCCTCACGTCCTCTCTATGCTCCTCCCAGCAGGTCCCAGCCGTCTCCTTCCGCTGCTGCTGCTGCTACTGCTGCTCCCCGCTGCTGCTGCTGCCACCGCTGCTGCTGCTGCCACCGCTGCTGCTGCTGCCACCGCTGGTGTCACTGCTGGTCTTCTCTTCTGCTGCCAGCCACTGCTGCTGTCAGATGTAGTGTCATTGCGGACCTCTCTCCTTCTCCCACCGCTGCTGCCACCGCTGGTGTCACTGCTGGTCTTCTCTTCTGCTGCCAGCCACTGCTGCTGTCAGCTGTAGTGTCATTGCGGACCTCTCTCCTTCTCCCACCGCTGCTGCCACAGCTGGTGTCACTGCTGGTCTTCTCTTCTGCTGCCAGCGTGTCATTGCGGACCTCTCTCCTTCTCCCACCGCTGCTGCCACCGCTGGTGTCACTGCTGGTCTTCTCTTCTGCTGCCAGCCACTGCTGCTGTCAGCTGTAGTGTCATTGCGGACCTCTCTCCTTCTCCCACCGCTGCTGCCACCGCTGCTGTCACTGCTGGTCTTCTCTTCTGCTGCCAGCCACTGCTGCTGTCAGCTGTAGTGTCATTGCGGACCTCTCTCCTTCTCCCACCGCTGCTGCCACCGCTGGTGTCACTGCTGTGTCTTCTGCTCTGCTAATGCCACTGCAGCCATCTCGTGTTGCCTCTTGTTCCTCAGCTGGTGCTGCGCTGATGCCAATGCTGCCGTTGCCACCATTGCTGCCACTGCTCTGCTTCCACTACTCTGCTGCCGCTGCAGCTGCCACTGCTGCTGCTGCTGCCGCGCTCCTTGTGCTGCCACCGCCATCCATGCCCAATGTCTGAGCAAAAGACGTACCGAGAATGTGGGCGTTGAAGTTTCTGCAGTCTGCAGCAAGGTGGGGTCTTCTCTCAATGCCCAATGTCCAAGCCTCAATGCCCAATGTCCAAGGCCCAATGTCTGCTGCTGCTGCTGCTGCTGCTCGGGGGTGCATGCAGGGACAGCCGTGGTCAGCAGGGCATGCCCAGGCCGTGCGTCATCCCACCGCCCCTTAGCCCCGTGCTCTGCCTCCTCGCCTCAAGCGCGTGGGTGGGCGACCTGCACAAGTGGCACAGAACAGCATCAGTCCCTGGCTATTCACAAATGAGAAAAACAGAAAAAAAAAATTGCGAAGGGCTGCCAATCTGCATTTACTTACCAGGGCGGGATGACCGGTGGGTAAGCGAAGGGTGGATGGCAGAATAAATGCACGCGCGCTCGCCAGCAGCAGCACCTCTCCCTCCTCGCGTCGCCGTTCCTCCGGAGGTGAGCAGTGATCAGCCGGGCAGCGGAAGTGGTGCCTGCCGTGCGTCATCCCACTGCCGCCATCCCACTGCCGCCATCCCACTGCTGCCGTCTGCTGGCGGAGCAACCAGGAAGATCGGGGGAGAGAGAGAGCAGAATCTGTCTGTGAGCGGCAGAGAGAGAGAGAGAAAGAGCACAAGCTGACAGAGAACAACAGAAAAGTGTGAAAGTTTAGCACAGCAGAGCGACAAGTGAATGGCTGGGGAGGGGTGGGTGGGAGGGGGAAGGCGCATGGCGACAGTGGGATGAAAAGGACAGCGGAAAAACGAGGGAGAACACGAAAGCCATAGAAGCAACCAAGGCAGATGAAAACGCGAATGAGGAGCGAGAGGGGAGGGAGAGCAGAAGGAAGCAAGGGGGTGTTCAGTCATGGCTCCAGTTACTTACTTGTTTCTCCAGTTGCTGCTGCTCCTGTCGATGCTGCCGCTGCCGCTGCAGATGCTCCTGTCGATGCTGTAGCTGCCGCTGCAAATGCTTCTCCTGTCGCTTCTTCTCCGTCTCCCCAGCAACGCGTCACCGTGCCTGCACTGCACAAGGAACCGCAAGGTGCAACCTCACAGTGAAGGTTAGTAACTGGGTAGAGGTTACAAGCTGAGAGAGAGAAAACAGATGCCACAATGCAAGGAGAAGAACGACGTACAATGAGGAGGGAGGAAAGGAGGAGGAGGAGGAGGAGGAGGGGGAGGAGGAGGAGGAGGAGGAGGAGGAGGAGGAGGAGGAGGAGGAGGAGGAGGGAGGAGGAGGAGGGGGGGGGGAGGGGGGAGGAGGAGGAGGAGGAGGAGGAGGAGGAGGAGGAGGAGGAGGAGGAGGAGGAGGAGGAGGAGGAGGAGGAGGAGGAGGAGGAGGAGAGAGGGCCGCTACTGGTGAGGTTACACCTACAAGCCACAGACGAAAGGGGGGTTTTCTGTCATGTCTCATGTTACTTACACTTCGTCTTTGCAAGTGAGGACGGGGGGGGGGGGGGAGGGGGGAGTGCGGGGGAGATACCCCGCTACCGGATGCACTTACACTGGGGCCGTTGCCCGAAGTACCCAAGGGAAGGGGTTAACCGGATGCTCTTACACTGGGGCCGTTGCCCGAAGTACCCAAGGGTTAAGCGTCTGTGACCCGTGGGGTTCACCTCAGCCAGCAACGACAGAGGAGGAAGATGAGAGGGAGAAGGAGAGGAGAAGGAGAAGGAGAAAAGGGAGAAAACAGAGAAGGGGAGAGGGAGAGGGAGAAGGAGAAGAAGGAAGAGAAGGGGTGGGAGAAGGAGAAGGAGAAGGGGAGGAGGAGGAGGAGGAGGAGGAGGAGGAGGAGGAGGAGGAGGAGGAGGAGGAGGAGGAGGAGGAGGAGGAGGAGGAGGAGGAGGAGGAGGGAGCATGGAAATCGAAATAAGCAGAGTCAGGGAGAGGGAACTTAGCCGGTTGTTGATTCCCGTTGCCATGCTCCATGCCTCCATGCTCCAACGCCAGTCAGCATCCACGCCTTCCCCCTAATACATCCGCGCCTCTCCCCTGATGCATCCGCGCCTCTCCCCTGATGCATCCGCGCCTCTCCCCTGATGCATCCGCGCCTCTCCCCTCATGCATCCGCGCCGCTCCCCTGATGCATCCGCGCCTCTCCCCTGATGCATCCGCGCCTCTCCCCTCATGCATCCGCGCCTCTCCCCTGATGCATCCGCGCCTCTCCCCTGATGCATCCGCGCCTCTCCCCTGATGCATCCGCGCCGCTCCCCTGATGCATCCACGCCTTCCCCCTGACGCATCCGCGCCTCTCCCCTCATGCATCCGCGCCTCTCCCCTGATGCATCCGCGCCTCTCCCCTGATGCATCCGCGCCTCTCCCCTGATGCATCCGCGCCTCTCCCCTGATGCATCCGCGCCTCTCCCCTCATGCATCCGCGCCTCTCCCCTCATGCATCCGCGCCTCTCCCCTGATGCATCCGTGCCTCTCCCCTGATGCATCGGCGCATCTCCCCTCATGCATCTGCGCCTCTCCCCTGATGCATCCCCTTTCCGCAATGCTTGCATGAGCCTCTGCCACTCCTGCACGCACGGAGAAAGTAGGACTGGGAAACGAATAGACCAGCGAAACGAATAGACCAGGATCGAGACCAATTGCAGATGGAACAGAATCGAGTAGACCAGTCATTGAAACGAGAAAACGCATTCGGTTAAAAGATACACCAGCCATTGAAGCGAACAGAAACTCACCAGAATACACCAGCCATTGAACGGGAGCATCAACGTCCTCCTTCGCCCCCACCAGCCATTGATTGGAGATCTGGGCTCCCGTGACGCTTCACCGTTGTGACAACGAGCACTTCTGCCGCTCCTGCCGCTCCTGCACGCACGGAGAAAGTAGGAATAAGATAGACAGCAAATAGACTTACACCGAAAGAAACTGCAATCTGACTGCGAAAGAAACTGCAATCTGACTGCGAAAGAAACGAGCGTCTAAAGAGTGATACGCCATGATACGAATTGAATAGAACAGCCACAATCGTCACGAAACCAACTGCAGAAACGGGAAACGCTCGTTGAAACGGGAAACGCTAACTCACGCATTCATTGACCGCGATCGTCGCCGTTCTCCTTTGCTCCTCCGTCGTATGTCTTGCGAGCTGCTCCTCCGTCCTCCGTCGCTCGTTGCTCGTCGTTTCCTCCGTCCTCCTGCGTCGCGAGCTCTTTCCGTCGTGAGCTCTTTCCGTCAGCGTCGTCAGTCGCTCGATCCCCCATCAGACGTCGAATGTCTTCGCGTCTTTGCGTCGTCAGACGTCTCAAGCTCTAGTACCGTATTCGTGAGCGTCGGACGTCCACGCGACTTCGCTAACGTCGCAAGCGCCGTCGGGAGTAGTAGTACTAATAGCAACTGATGTTCGTAGTAACGTCGACGGCTTCAGGAGCTCCTCGTCGCGAATACTGTTCTCCTCCGCAGTGACGACCACGCGACTTCGCAAAGGTCGCTAGCAACTGATGTTCGTAGTAACGTCGACGGCTTTAGGAGCTCCTCGTCCCGAATTCTATTCTCCTCCGCAGTGACAACCTTCTCGTGAGCGGCTGCGTCGTTGGGTTCAGAGGCCGAGGGAAGCTACACCGTAGTACATTTGCGAGCGATGCAAGTCGTAAAGTCGCACAAGCAGCGTTGAGCGAGTCGCACAAGGCGATTCGCAAGCTCCTCCTTGAAAGTCGCAAGTGAGATGATGGTTGGAACGTCGCACAGCCTCGTCCGTAGCAGCGTTAAGAGTGCGAGAATAGATAGCGTAGCGACTTAAGAAATAGATCCCTTGAGATGATGGCGTTGAGATGATGGCTTAAAAGTCACGATAAATCGTTGTGGAAAGGCTTCGTAAACTTCAGGAACACGGTCGCACCACGTCGCGTCCAGCATGATAAATCTTATACTAGCACTGATGAAATCGATTCTTATTATTACGCCCTAAGATCCCGTCAGGCTCTAAGATTCTGCTACCATCCTCCTATGATGAAATGATAGATCATTTCTGATGAGATTGACATTTCTTGCTAGGCTCTAAGAGTCTGCTGTAATCCTACTAAAAAAGCTTAAGCTTAACGCGCTTCGGGAAGAGACTACGTCACCGAAATTACCTCAACGCTACAGCTAACCGAGGAAGCCATGGATTCCGGTCAATCGAGTTAGCTAGCTCATGGATTCCTCTCTGAGACAACGTCTTCACGGGGAATGCCTGAGGGATTTGGTGAATTGGAGCAAGGTCAATTGGAGGTAGAGTTAGCGACGAGAATTGGAACAGGAAGGAAAAGCAAGGTCCGGTACGGTGAGGAGGCTTTCAGCAAGGTTAGAGAAGTTCATGAGGGGTGGTACGGGTTTCGGCAAGGTGAGATAAGGTGAGGTGGGATGAGGCTGTGTGTGGTGAGAGAAAGGCGAAGGGGAAGGAGCTGAACGGCAAGGAGCGGGAAGTCGAGTCGCGACTTGTCCACGCCAGCCGAAGGGGGAGAGCTTCCCCCCTGTCTCGGCAGCCCGAAGCGCAAGCCGCTGCAAAGTTCGCTGACGAGTTGCGCTGAATGGCTGGAATCCGCGGGGAAGTCCGCCGACGGTCTGTGTCGAAGGCGAGGAACGGTGGAAAGTGGTGTGAATCAGTGAGGCGAGGAAACTCCCTTTTCGCGGTTTGGCGAGGAAACTCCCTTTTCGCGGGAAAAAGCCGCAGTATGCGAGATGTGCGTAGGGGAGATATGTTACCCAGTGATGTCGGATGATCTGACGGCTGAACACAGTTCTGGAGTGGATGATTCGGCTTTGGCATGATGTGAATGGCATGGTTTGTTACCACCAATCAGATATCAGCTTCGAGCTCCTATGGATTTGGATGTCATGGCCCGGCCGAGCCGCTGTAACCATGTGTCATTCACGAGCTGAAGGACTCGTGTCAGACCTCGAATTCAAATTTGAGTCGGTTGCCAAAAGTCAATGATATGGGCGGGATGCAGCTATCGTCCCCGTTTTGAATTAGGTTTTGATAACATATTAACGAGTACAATGTAAAGCGTAAACCGCTGATTTAAGGAATGCCATTTCTCTGGCCACTTATCAATACCTGCCATTACAGCTGATCTTGCTTAAAAAATGTTCGAGATAAAAATCAAGCCTACATTGGGTATAATCAGTCCTTTGACTTGGAGGTTCTTGAGTGGGGGCTTGATTCACAATCCTCTCCAAGTAAATGGCTTTTATGATGATTATTATTATTTTCAAGGTTCCCCATTATTGATCTAGTAAAATGTCAGGCACCATTACTCTATTCACTCCATGCACCACCATGTGTGCATCCGTGTAGAGGCCTGGCAGCACCACTTGTACACTCCCCTGTGCTCCCAGCAGTGGCTTGCCCAGCACGATACCCTCCCCTTCCACCTTCTCCACCTCCATCTCCTCAAACCCTGTTATGAACTGCATGGGCATCAGAGGGGGTGGGAAGGAGGGAGGAAGAAGGGAGGTTCAGAGAGGGAGAGAGAGAGGAGGAGCTTGGGAAGGGGACATAGAATGAGATGGAGTGGCTGGAGTGGCTGAGGATCTGAAGGACGGAGATGGGAGAGAGCGCGGGCTGCAGATGGAAGAGGCGCGAGAGAGGATTGAAGGAGCACAATGTGCCAGTAACACCTTCCGCCTTGCCAGCATATGCTTACCTGCAGCACCTTCCACCGTCTCAGCAGAAGAGAGAGGTCCAAACCCAACAGAATTAGGGATGCCGCTGGTGTGACGCGTGTGTTAGCGGAACAACACAGGTACTCGATCTCATCATTTTTAGGGTTCCCACAACCACAGCACCCAAACAGCACAGCGTGCCTCTGAGCACGCGGTGCATGTCAGAACTATAACAGAGGCACACAACCAGCCGGAGGAAGCACAGCCAATGATCCCACCAATGATCCCTCACGCACCAGTGATCCTGCAGGCAAGTCTGTCAGCTGAGCGGCAGAGAGCTTGCGGGCGAGAGTGTGGAAGGCGAGTACGCGGTGCATGGCGCTGGCGCGGCGCGTGAGGTAGCGGCGCGTGACGGGCGGGAGGGATGTGAACGCGCCGTTGATTGGCGCGCGAAGCGTTATGCGTGGTGTTGAATTCTGAGCACAAGGAGGAAACACGCCGGGAAAGGGAGAGAAAGTGCGGGGTGTGGGAGAGCACCAGGGGTTGGGGAGGGCAAGGGGGGAGGGGGAAAAGACGGCAGGGGGAGTGATGAGGACAATGGGGGGCTTTTAGCAGAAACCCCGGAGAAACATTCCTAGGAAAAAAACGTATAAAAGAAAGGAAATATTTGCAGGAACAATCGTATAAAGCCTATATTTGCCCGGAAAACGATTCCTAGGACCGCAGATTTGTAATCGGAGCTTAACGGAGAAGCAGGGAGCATCGTGCCGCCTTGTTATCAACCCTGAACGGGATCCAGCGCTTACTAGATCGCTCCATGTTGGAGCCGCTTCTGCGTCGCTCACATACACTCGCAACCCGACGAAGCACGGCATGCACGCACCAGTGATCCTACCATTGATAGCATGACGTCGACTTCTGAGTGGACAGGGGGAGGAATGAGACGATGCAGGAAGCATGAAAGCAGGGTATATTGCGAAAGCAGGAAGGAGAGGGGGGGAGAGAGTGGGGGGAGGAGGGGGTGGAGGGGGAGGGGGGAATATTAACAGGAAAGAGAAATCTTAAGGATAGAAGTCAAAAACATTGTAGTTTTTTTACTGGTAGAATCACAGCGGAGATATGATAGAATCACAGCGGAGATATGATTTGACCTTATATTCTGTTCCTTAGTAGAAACAGGGAAAATCGCGCGTTGCTACTACGCCTTGCTAGGTTCGTCCGAATCTCACGGGATCGACCAGCCTTGCTACGCCTTACTACCCTGCTGGCGACCAGCAGCGAGTGTCATCACCCCGTGAGCCGCTTCCGCGTCGACTCTTGTAACGAGCAGCGTCCGTTCGTCGGCGTATCCCAGTAACGAGAATTGCCTGTGCCATTACACTCGCGTGCGCCGCGCGGAGAGGACATGAAAGCATGACGTTGACTAGGATTGCCAGGACATGATCAGGATATCCAGAGAAGTAGCCGACACTGCCGCATTTCGATGCTCAAATCTACTAAAGCCATCGCAGGGAAGTCTCGCAACGACAATGGCGCGTTTGAAACAGGGGAGGAGGAAACTAGAGAGTACAAATCGCTATCGATTTCAGAGTTGCTCCTAACCAGTTTAGATCATACGGTAATGATCCAGTTCATAGATCTCAGTATCAAATATCCAACCAAAGGTTCCATATTCAAGAGAACTTCCAGACACTAATTTAATTACGGTAGCTTTCTATCTGGCTCTGATTGTGAACCTTCTGTCTCTGGTCCTGTCTGTATGGTTCTGAGTTGGGTTCTGTTCATTCAAGAGGTTCTCTGTCTGTCACACCAGCAAATGCACATCATCTGGTCCATTGGATTAATTGTCTACATATGACTGAACTAAAGCAACACCTATTGCAGTTATTATCCATTCAAAGATCCTAATCATGATCCAAATAAATTATTGATAGTACTATTGTAGGATATCGATCTAGGATTGCCAGGACGTGATCAGGATATCCAATGAAGTACACGACACTGCCGCAGCGCGGTGCTTGAGTCTACTATAACCATCGCAGCGCGGTGCTTGAATCTACTATAACCATCGCAGCGCGGTGCTTGAATCTACTATAACCATCGCAGCGAAGACTCGCAGCCACACTGGCGCGTTTGAAAACCACTAGAGAGTACAAAATTGGTTTACCAATTGATAACTATCGATTTCAGAGATACCAATACCGGTATTAGTTGAGAGACCTCAGCATCAAATATCCAACCAGAGGTTCCATATCTACCAGAATATCAGTATACTAATCTAGATGAGAACTATATATTGATAGCTCACTACTATATTATACTACCCATGCTAATTATCCATTTAAAGTTGCTAATCATGATCCAAATAAATTATTGATCGTACTATTGTATACACCATGCACTATAGGTGTGCATGGGGGGTTCCTCTTGGCCGCCAGGAGCAAGCTCCCAACGTTACACCCAAGCACCGCGGTGAGGTGGGAACCATCGCTTGGGACCCTGTTGGGGGGAAGACAGAACACAAAAGGATACTGGATACTGCCCAGGGGCAGGTGAAAATTAATATGTGACTCTGTTGGGGGGGGGAGACAGAACACAAACGGATACTAGATACTGCCCAGGGGCAGGTGAAAATTATAATGTGACCCTGTTGGGGGGGGAGACAGAACACAAAAGGATACTGGATACTGCCCAGGGGCAGGTGGAAATTATTATGTGACCCTGTTGGGGGGGGAGACAGAACACAAAAGGATACTGGATACTGCCCAGGGGCAGGTGAAAATTATTATGTGACCCTGTTGGGGGGGGAGACAGAACACAAAAGGATACTGGATACTGCCCGGGGGCAGGTGGAAATTATTATGTGACCCTGTTAGGGGGGGGAGACAGAACACAGAGCAAACTGCCCAAGGGCAAAAGAGTTTTGAGATATCTCCCAAAACCCTGATTTTGCTCACTTCAGCTAAGCTGCAGTGAGGAGGGAGAGTTTTGAGAGTGAGTTTCGAGACGTCTCTCGAAACTCACAAGAGATGAGAGTGTTCCTACTCTGCTTCGCTGCAACCTGTGTTCCCTGCAATCTGCTTCACCCCCTACTCTGCTTCGCTGCAACCTGTGTTCCCTGCAATCTGCTTCACCCCCTACTCTGCTTCGCTGCAACCTGTGTTCCCTGCAATCTGCTTCACCCCCTACTCTGCTTCGCTGCAACCTGTGTTCCCTGCAATCTGCTTCACCCCCTACTCTGCTTCGCTGCAACCTGTGTTCCCTGCAATCTGCTTCACCCCCTACTCTGCTTCGCTGCAACCTGTGTTCCCTGCAATCTGCTTCACCCCCTACTCTGCTTCGCTGCAACCTGTGTTCCCTGCAATCTGCTTCACCCCCTACTCTGCTTTGCTGCAACCTGTGTTCCCTGCAATCTGCTGCATCCCCTACTCTGCTTCGCTGCAACCTGTGTTCCCTGCAATCTGCTTCACCCCCGGCTCTGCTTCGCTGCAACCTGTGTTCCCTGCAATCTGCTTCACCAGCAAACGAGGTCCTCTGGAGTAGCACACGGGGAGGGTGGCCAGTCGTCTTCACTGCTTCTCTTATGCTGACCGCTGGTGCCACTGCTTGTATGCCCGTGCAACCTGTGTTCCCTGCAATCTGCTTCACCCCCTACTCTGCTTCGCTGCAACCTGTGTTCCCTGCAAACTGCTTCACCCCCTACTCTGCTTCGCTGCAACATGTGTTCCCTGCAATCTGCTTCACCAGGCAAAACGAAAAAGGCAACAACCATGCATCAGAACGAACAAACCAGCTAACGCTAGTGCAAAACTAATAAAGCAACGACAATGCATCTGAACGAACAAACAAGCTAACGCAAAAAAGAGGAAAACCATTGGCAGCACATATTAACTCCACCTCTGTGCTTGTTCGCTCCATCGCTCCTTAAATCGAGGGCAGCAAAGGAGATCCTCACCAGCAGTGGCAGGGGATTCTCCTTTGCCTCCTCTGCTCCTTTGCTCCTTCAAACTTTCGCACGCCTCCTCTCCTCAGCTGCTCCTCCTCCTCTGATGCATCTCCTCTGCTCCTCCTCTGATGCATCCCCTTCACAGCTGCTTCATCTCCCCCTCCAGTGCAGCACCACTCCCCCTCCAGTGCAGCACCACTCCCCCTCCAGTGCAGCACCACTCCCCCTCCAGTGCAGCACCACTCCCCCTCCAGTGCAGCACCACTCCCCCTCCAGTGCAGCACCACTCCCCCTCCAGTGCAGCACCACTCCCCCTCCAGTGCAGCACCACTCCCCCTCCATTGCAGCACCACTCCCCCTCCATTGCAGCACCACTCCCCCTCCAGTGCAGCACCACTCCCCCTCCAGTGCAGCACCACTCCCCCTCCAGTGCAGCACCACTCCCCCTCCAGTGCAGGACCACTCCCCCTCCACTGCTGCTGCCACTGCTGGTGTCACTGCTGGCCTTCTCTTTCTGCTCGCACTGTTGCTGACACCGGTAGTGTCACCGCATGCCTCGCCCCTACTCCCACCGCTGGTGTCACTGCGGGTGCCACCTCCAATGCAGAAGCAGCAGCACCACCTCCCAACGCGGCAGCAGCACCACTTCACAGCACCAGCAGCAGCACATGCGAGGGAGGTAGGAGCGAGGCAGCACAAGCCAGCTAAAGGTAGGTACAGCTCGCACCTTGCTGCTGCCAACTCTGGCCCCTTCTCTGCTCCTCTGCTCTATTCACCTGCTCATCACCTCTCCTGCAGTGGCCTTCTCTTCTGCACACGGGAGGGAGGCAGCATCATTTTCTCCCACTGCTGCTCCTCTGCTCCTCTGCAGTAGCACACAGGAAGGGTGGCCTTCTCTTCTGCTGCCACTGCTGCTGCCACTGCTTGCATTCCCTTCTGCTGCCACTGCTCCTACCATTGCTTGCATTCCCTTCTGCTGCCTCGGCTGCTGAAACCAGTATGTCACTGCGGGCCTCTCTTCTGCTCGCTGTCCCGTCACTTCACAGCACCATCAGCAACACGCAGGAGGGAGGTAGGAGCGAGAAAGGTAGCAGCTGCCGTCCCATCACTTCACAGCACCAGCAGCAGCACGTGGGAGGGAGGTAGGAGCGAGGAAGGTAGCAGCTGCCGTCCCATCACTTCACAGCACCAGCAGCAGCACGCGGGAGGGAGGTAGGAGCGAGGAAGGTAGCAGCTGCCGTCCCATCACTTCACAGCACCAGCAGCAGCACGTGGGAGGGAGGTAGGAGCGAGGGAGGTAGCAGCTGCCATCCCATCACTTCACAGCACCAGCAGCAGTACGTGGGAGGGAGGTAGGAGCGAGGGAGGTAGCAGCTGCCGTCCCATCACTTCACAGCACCAGCAGCAGCACGCGGGAGGGAGGTAGGAGCGAGGAAGGTAGCAGCTGCCGTCCCATCACTTCACAGCACCAGCAGCAGCACGCGGGAGGCAGTAACAACTCGCAGCTTGCTCCTCCGTGCCTGTATGCCTTCTCCCCTCCGTGCCTGTGTACCTTCTCCCCTCTGTGCCTTCACTCCTCCGTGCGGCCAGCAGCGTTGGGGGGAATCGCAGCTGTGCGGTTCTGCTCCTCTGCTCCTTTGGCCTTCCCCCTTCCGTGCCTTCTCCTCCGTGCCCTCTGCTCCATGTCTCTCCAACGCTCCATCTCCTTCCTCTTCTCCATCTCCTTTGCCTCTCCTTCCTCTCCTCTGCTGCTCCGTCTCCTCTGCTGCGCCGTCTCCTCTGGTGCTTCTTCGCTCCATCGCTCCTTTGCTCCTCGTCTCCTCCTCTGCTGCTCCTCAGCTGAGCCAACTCCTCTGCTTCTCCACCTCCTCTGCTCCACCTCTGCTTCATCTCCTTCTCCTTGCATGCATCTCCTCGCATGCATCTCCTGCGGAATGGGAAGGGAAAGTCTGTGAGCTCATTGCACCAATTGCACCCAGTGGTTGCACCCAGTGGTTGCACCCACTGGCAAGGTTGGACTGAGATCAAATGCGTAGTGAATGATGCAACGGCCAATTAGAGAGCAGGAAAGAAGGTCCTCACCAGCAGTGGCAGGGGATTCTCCTTTGCCTCCTCTGCTCCTTTGCGCCTTCGATCTTTCGCACGCCCCCTCTCCTCAGCTGCTCATCCTCCTCTGATGCATCTCCTCTGATCCTCCTCCTCTGAAGCATCTCCTCTGCTCCTACTCCTCTGAAGCATCTCCTCTGCTCCTACTCCCCTGATGCATTTCCTCTCCTCCTCCGCTGCTTGCTCCTCCCCTCCTTCGGCTCCTCTGCTCCTTTGCCTCTCCTCAATTGCCTCTCCTTCGATGCAGCTCCATATCCTCATTGCACTCCTTATCCTCATTGCACTCCATATCCTCATTGCACTCCATATCCTCATTGCACTCCATATCCTCATTGCACTCCATATCCTCATTGCACTCCATATCCTCATTGCACTCCATATCCTCATTGCACTCCATATCCTCATTGCACTCCATATCCTCATTGCACTCCATATCCTCATTGCACTGCATATCCTCATTGCACTCCATATCCTCTGCTCCATATCCTGCGGAATGGGAAAATAATGTCTGTGACCTCATTGCACCAATTGCACCTGGTGCCAAGAAGTGATTGAGAACAAATGCGTAGCCAAGAAGGCGACGACCATTGATTGAGAGAGCAGGAAAGGAGATCCTCACCGGCAGTGGCAGGGGATTCTCCTTCGCCTCCTCTGCTCCTTTGCCTCTGATGTCGCTGCTCCGTCCCCTCCGATGCATCTCCTGCAGAATGCGAAGGAAGGAAAAGCCTATGAGCACCCAGTGATTGCACCCAGTGATTGCACCCAGTGCCAACAAGTGATTCAAAATCGACGCCAAGCGAACAACGAGACAACCGTCCTCACCGTGGCAACGGCACAGAATCCGCCTTCACCTTGCCTCCTCTCCCCGGCTGCTCCTTGCCTCCTTCGCCTCCTCTACTCCTTCGCCTCCTCTTCTCCTTCACCTCCTGTTCTCCTCGCCTCCTCTCCCCGGCTGCTCCTCTGCTTCTCCGTCCCCTCCGATGCATCTCCTGCGGAAAGGGAAAGAAGAAAGAGTCTATAAGCACCCAGCGATTGCACCCAGAGCCAAAAACCGATTCGGAATCGATGGCAAGCGAACAGAGCAACGATAATACGGAGAGCAGGAAAGAAGATGCTCACAGGCACTGGCAGGGAATCCCCCCTCCTTCCCCTCTGCTCCTCGCTCCTTCGTCTCCTGTGCTCCCTCGGCCCCTCTGCTCCGTCACTCCACTGCTGCTCCCATCTCCTCTGCTCCCATCTCCTCTTCTCCCATCTCCTCTGCTGCTCCTCTCCTGATCCTTTGCTCCCCCTCTGCTCCTCTCCTCCTCCTCTCCTCCTCCTCTCCTCCTCCTCTCCTCCTCCTCTGCTCCCCCTCTGCTCCCCCTCTGCTCTTCCTGCTCTGCTAAATCAGACAAACGAGGAACATTAGTACGAGTGGGAAAACAGCATGCAGGAATGGAAGGAGACGACGTACCGAGGGGGGGTTGAGCCTTCGTGTCTTGGCCCTGTCTGAAACACGGAGCAGCAAACAAGGACGTTAGTACGAGTGGGAAAACAACATGCAGAAATGGAAGGAGACGACGTACCGAGGGGGGGTTGAGCCTTCGTGTCTTGGCCCTGTCTGAAACACGGAGCAGCAAACAAGGACGTTAGTACGAGTGGGAAAACAATATGCAGGAATGGAAGGAGACGACGCACCAACGGGGGGTTGAGCCTTCGTGTCTTGGCCCTGTCTGAAACACGGAGCAGCAAACAAGGACGTTAGTAAGAGTGGGAAAACAACATGCAGAAATGGAAGGAGACGACGTACCGAGGGGGGGTTGAGCCTTCGTGTCTTGGCCCTGTCTGAAACACGGAGCAGCAAACAATGACGTTAGTACGAGTGGGAAAACAACATGCAGAAATGGAAGGAGACGACGTACCGAGGGGGGGTTGAGCCTTCGTGTCTTGGCCCTGTCTGAAACACGGAGCAGCAAACAAGGACGTTAGTACGAGTGGGAAAACAACATGCAGGAATGGAAGGAGACGACATACCGAGGGGGGGTTGAGCCTTCGTGTCTTGGCCCTGTCTGAAACACGGAGCAGCAAACAAGGACGTTAGTACGAGTGGGAAAACAACATGCAGGAATGGAAGGAGACGACGTACCGAGGGGGGGTTGAGCCTTCGTGTCTTGGCCCTGTCTGAAACACGGAGCAGCAAACAAGGACGTTAGTACGAGTGGGAAAACAACATGCAGGAATGGAAGGAGACGACGTACCAAGGGGATCTCGAGGCTTGATGTCGTGCTGGCAGCTAGAACAGGAAGACACACACCATACAAGATTAGGCATTAGAAGAAACAAGAAAGTGAGAAATAGAATGTAAAAGACTGCAGCTTACAACAGGTCCTAGCTGCTGCGTCCCCCTGTTGTTCCCGCCGTGGTGTTGCCTCCCTCGTTCTTGCCGATCCTAGAGAAGGGGCGGCACAAAACTTATCCTTTGCCCCCCAGGGGGCAAAGTAGGCACCTCAGTTGAAGCTGCTCCTTCCAGCTGCTGCTGCCCCACCAGCAGTTGCTTCGCTCTAAGTGTTGCCCCGGTTCTTGCTGCACCTAGGAGAGGGGCGACACAAAACTCATCCTTCTCCTGCCGGCTGAGGAAGGAAACGCCTCACTTGAAGCTGCTCCTCCTCTTGTGTTGATCCTTTGCCCCCCAGGGGGTCAAAGCGCCTCACTTGAAGGCGCCGCTCCACCTCCCGCTGCTCCTCGTGTGTTGACCCTTTGCCCCCCCATGGGGTCAAAGCGCCTCACTTGAAGGCGCCGCACCACCTCCCGCTGCTCCTCTTGTGTTGATCCTTTGCCCCCCAGGGGGTCAAAGCGCCTCACTTGAAGGCGCCGCTCCACCTCCCGCTGCTCCTCTTGTGTTGATCCTTTGCCCCCCAGGGGGTCAAAGCGCCTCACTTGAAGGCGCCGCTCCACCTCCCGCTGCTCCTCTTGTGTTGATCCTTTGCCCCCCAGGGGGTCAAAGCGCCTCACTTGAAGGCGCCGCTCCACCTCCCGCTGCTCCTCGTGTGTTGATCCTTTGCCCCCCAGGGGGTCAAAGCGCCTCACTTGAAGGCGCCGCTCCACCTCCCGCTGCTCCTCTTGTGTTGATCCTTTGCCCCCCAGGGGGTCAAAGCGCCTCACTTGAAGGCGCCGCTCCACCTCCCGCTGCTCCTCTTGTCTTGATCCTTTGCCCCCCAGGGGGTCAAAGCGCCTCACTTGAAGGCGCCGCTCCACCTCCCGCTGCTCCTCTTGTGTTGATCCTTTGCCCCCCCAGGTTGCCAGTCCTCCTTCTGCTGCTCAACAGGAGAAAACAATAACAACAACCACAGCCCACAACAAGTGTGAATTTGAGACGTTTTGCTCTCAAAACCCAAGTTTTGCTCACCGCAGCAAATCTGCAGTGAGGAAGGAGGGGGCGTGAGTTTTGAGACGTCCCTCAAAATTCACCATTTGCAGAGTTTTGAGCATCTGCTACCACTGCTAGCCTTCCCTGCCAGCATCTGCTCCACTGCTGGTCTTCTCTTCTCGTCTGCTCCCACTGCTGGTCTTCTCTTCTCGTCTGCTCCCACTGCTGGTCTTCTCTTCTCGTCTGCTCCCACTGCTGGTCTTCTCTTCTCGTCTGCTCCCACTGCTAGCATCTGCTCCCACTGCTAGCCTTCGCTGCTAGCATCTGCTCCCACTGCTAGCCTTCCCTGCGAGCATCTGCTCCCACTGCTAGCCTTCACTTCTGCTGTCACTGCTGGTGTCACTGCTGGTCTTCTCTTCCGCTGCCAGCCACTGCTGCTGTCAGCTGTAGTGTCATTGCGGACCTCTCTCCTTCTCCCACCGCTGCTGCCACCGCTGGTGTCACTGCTGGTCTTCTCTTCTGCTGCCAGCCACTGCTGCTGTCATCTGTAGTGTCATTGCGGGCCTCTCTCTTTCTCCCACTGCTGCTGCCACCGCTGGTGTCACTGCTGCTCTTCTCTTCTGCTGCCAGCCACTGCTGCTGTCATCTGTAGTGTCATTGCGGGCCTCTCTCTTTCTCCCACTGCTGCTGCCACCGCTGGTGTCACTGCTGGTCTTCTCTTCTGCTGCCAGCCACTGCTGCTGTCAGCTGCAGTGTCATTGCGGACCTCTCTCCTTCTCCAACCACTGCTGCCACCGCTGGTGTCATTGCTGGTCTTCTCTTCTGCTGCCAGCCATTGCTGCTGTCAGCTGTAGTGTCATTGCGGGCCTCTCTCCTTCTCCCACCGCTGCTGCAACCGCTGGTGTCACTGCTGGTCTTCTCTTCTGCTGCCAGCCACTGCTGCTGCCAGCTGTAGTGTCATTGCGGACCTCTCTCCTTCTCCCACTGCTGCTGCCACCGCTGGTGTCACTGCTGGTCTTCTCTTCTGCTGCCAGCCACTGCTGCTGTCAGCTGTAGTGTCATTGCGGACCTCTCTCCTTCTCCCACTGCTGCTGCCACCGCTGGTGTCACTGCTGGTCTTCTCTTCTGCTGCCAGCCACTGCTGCTGTCAGCTGTAGTGTCATTGCGGACCTCTCTCCTTCTCCCACCGCTGCTGCCACCGCTGGTGTCACTGCTGGTCTTCTCTTCTGCTGCCAGCCACTGCTGCTGTCAGCTGTAGTGTCATTGCGGACCTCTCTCCTCCTCCCACCGCTGCTGCCACCGCTGGTGTCACTGCTGGTCTTCTCTTCTGCTGCCAGCTACTGCTGCTGTCAGCTGTAGTGTCATTGCGGACCTCTCTCCTTCTCCCACTGCTGCTGCCACCGCTGGTGTCACTGCTGGTCTTCTCTTCTGCTGTCAGCCACTGCTGCTGTCAGCTGTAGTGTCATTGCGGACCTCTCTCCTTCTCCCACCGCTGCTGCCACCGCTGGTGTCACTGCTGGTCTTCTCTTCTGCTGCCAGCCACTGCTGCTGTCAGCTGTAGTGTCATTGCGGACCTCTCTCCTTCTCCCACCGCTGCTGCCACCGCTGGTGTCACTGCTGGTCTTCTCTTCTGCTGCCAGCCACTGCTGCTGTCAGCTGTAGTGTCATTGCGGACCTCTCTCCTTCTCCCACCGCTGCTGCCACCGCTGGTGTCACTGCTGGTCTTCGCTTCTGCTGCCAGCCACTGCTGCTGTCAGCTGTAGTGTCATTGCGGACCTCTCTCCTTCTCCCACTGCTGCTGCCACCGCTGGTGTCACTGCGCTGCTGCTGCTGCTGCTGCTGCTGCTTCTGCACGCCCCCTAAGCTGCCTCCTCGCCCTCCTTGCTCCACTCCCTCTCACTACTGCCGTCCTCTGCAGGCTTCTCTGAGCCTCTGCTCCTCCGCTACAGTTCTCCTCGGCGCCTCCCTGAGTGAAGCACCCATATTGAGTGAAGCACCCATGATTGCTGAAAAACATGGGGAGGGAATACACAGACAGATGCACGAAGTCAGTAAACAGAAATGCGAAATAAAAAAGAAAGCAAGAGAAAACAAACACAAGGAAACGAAATGCGCAAAAAAAAAAAGAAAGCGGAAACAATATGCGAATTGAAAGCGGAGAACAACACAAGGAAACGAGGTGATGGGATGCATGAACGTCCATGATACGTCGGCTGCAGCTAGCAGAGGGAGGAGAGCTGTTGACTGTGCCGTTCTATCTACCCAACCCGGACTCTATGCTACCCAAACCCGCGGAGGATCGTCTACTAAGCTGCAGCCGAACGTATCAGAGGGACGGTGCAAAAACGTGAAATTCAATGCAGGACGCTGATGGATTGCAGAACGAGATGCAAAACACGGAACGATGAAATGAATGGAATCGACGGGTGACGAAAACGGAAGGCGAGGGGAAAGAAACGACGGGAAAGCGACTTCCCAGTTGCTGCTGCTGGAGGCAAAAGTCCAAAATCGGTTCGCCCACGCCACGCCACGCCACGAGATGCCATGCCATGCCAGTGATGCCTTGATGGATGCCTTGACGGTGACCGCTCCAGTGCTCCTCGAGCAGAGCGGGTGGTCAGCAGGGCGGGTAGGAGTCAGCCACACGCCAGTGGCTGCCGGCCGTGCGTCATCCCACCGCGCCCGTCCACCCGAGTCGCTGCTGCCTCTGCGGGCCTGGTGCCTCTGCGCCTGGTGCCTCCACGCCAGTGCTCCTATGCTGCTCTGCTCCTCTGCGGCTCCTCTGCTGGCTCCAGTTCTCCTTTGGTGGCTCCTCTGCTCCACGTTCTGCTCTGACAGGACACACAGGACATGATAAAGAGAATAAGGAGAACAGAAATGCGAAAAAATAACAGAATCAAGCAGACGGAGGAAAGGAAAACAGAAACGATGCAAACAGAACTAAGAAATAAGGCAAGAGATGAGATTACCAGCAACGAGCAGAGGCGACGCTTGTGCTCCTCTCTGGAGTCGCCGCAGCGAGTGCTGGCATGAACCCTCCAGTGCTCCTCTTATCCTCGGCTCCTCCTCTCCTCCTCTGCTGTCTCCTTTGCTGCCTCCCTCCTCTCCTCCACATTTCTGGACGGGCACACAGGGAGGAGGTAAACAGATTAGACTACGGAAGACAGAATTAAAGGCAGACAGAATGAAGGCAAACAGAAACACTGCAAACAGAACCAAGGCAAACAAACTAAAGGAGCAAGGAAGGAGATTACCAGCAACGAGAAGATTCGACGCTTCTGCTCCTCTCTGGAGTTGCTGTGTTGGTGATGGTCCCGCTGCTGCCGCTGCAGCTGTCTTTCCTGCTGCTGCTGCTGCTGCCGCTGCCGCTCCTGCTATTGCCGCTGCTGCTGCCACTGCCGCCGCGGCTGCCTTAGCTGCTGCTACTGCCGTGCTGCTGCCTGCCACTGCCGCTACCGCTCCACCTAGAACGACCCAGCTGTAGAGCTGCCTCGCTGTCTCCACTGCTGCAGCTGATGCCAGTCCACGTGTCTCCTCTCTCCCCTGCTGCAGCTCATGCCAGTCCAGCTGTCTCCTCTCTCCCCTGCTGCAGCAGATGGCGTTGACTTAGTGTTCACACCCGTTGACTGGCTACCACTCCCACGCCTCAACATTCCCTGCACAGCGACCAGAGAGTTGCAATCGCACAACAGAGTGACAGAGTGGAGGTTAACAGGAGTGGAAAGTTAATCAGAGTGGAGATTGCGAGTCAACAGAGTGACAGAGTGAGATAGAACGAATCCAAGGAGGGGGTGTTTTGTCACTGCTCCAGCTACTTACTTTCTTCTCCTCTCGCTGCTGCTCCTGTCCTTGCTGCCTCCGCGGATTCTGACCCTGTTGCTGCTGCTCCGTCTCCCCACCCACGCCTTGCCGTACCCTGAACAGCGAATAGAGAGTTGCAATCCCACAGTGAAGGTTAGTTGCTGGGTAGAGGTCAAGTTGACACAAAGAAAAGTACAACACAACGCAAGGGTAAATGAAAACGACAACAAATGCGAATGAGGAGGGAGGAATAGAGGAGGAGGAGGAGGAGGAGGAGGAGGAGGAGGAGGAGGAGGAGGAGGAGGAGGAGGAGGAGGGAGGAGGGAAGGGAGGAGCAGAAGGAAGGAAGGGTAGAGGAGGAGGGAGAAAGCAGGAAGAAGAGGAGGAGGTGGGAGGGTCGTTACTGGCGAGGCTACTCCCACAAGCCACAGACCCAAAGGGTTGCTCGGATGCACTTACACTGAGGGCATTTACCCCGAAGTACCGAAGGGTTAACCGGGTGCACTTACGCTGGGGGCATTTACCCCGAAGTACTGAAGAGTTTGCCCGATGCACTTACGTTGGGGGCTTTGAAGTACCCAAGGGTTAACCGCATGCACTTACACTGGGGCCGTTGCCCGAAGTACCCAAGGGGGGGGGGGGGGGTGTTTACCGCAGTAGAAGTTTTGGGAGAATACCGGCAGTGGGGGAGATGGTCTGTGACCCGATGGGTATCGCCTCAACCAGCAACGACAGAGGAGGAGGAGGAGAAGGAGAAGGAGAAAAGGGAGGATGAGGAGGAGGAGGAGGAGGAGGAGGAGGAGGAGGAGGAGGAGGAGGAGGAGGAGGAGGAGGAGGAGGAGGGAGGAGGAGGAGGAGGAGGAGGAGGAGGAGGAGGAGGAGGAGGAGGAGGAGGAGGAGGAAGAGGAGGAGGAGGAGGAGGAGGAGAAGAGAGGAGGAATGGGAGGCGGGGAACGTGTCAGGAGCAATTGGGGAAGAGGAGGGCCAGAGGGAACTTAGCCGGATGTTGACAGGTGTTAGCAATTGGAGAAGAGAAGAGCAGAGAAGCACCACCGCTCCGCCTCGGCTCGGCACGAGTCAGCCATCTCCTCCCGTCAGCACCAACGCCAGTCAGCCATCTCCTCCCGCCAGCACCAACGCCAGTCAGCCATCTCCTCTCACGGCAGCTCAAGAAGCGTCCGTCCTTCAGATGCACCAACGTAGTCAGCATCTTCAGACGCACTGACGCATCAGCACCGCTCCAGACCTTGTCGAGAGACAAGCTCAAATAGCCTCCGCTCCTGCACGCAGCGAGTGAGATACGCCATCAAAATTTGAAGTGCAGAAACCGAAACGCGCAGCTTGAAGGGAAACAAAACGCGATCATCAAGAGAATAATAGCAACCGGAGATATCCTATCGGATATACGCCGATGAAATTGAACGATACGAGCAAAAATACCGTCATATAATGTTTACCCTACGGATCGCGCGTTTTGCGTTGAAAACTCACCACAACCGTCTGGCGGCGCGCCCGTAGTAGCGGCGCGAACGTCAACATATTCGTATCGCGAGCAGGGACCTTCGCGAGCTTCGTACGGACGTCGCGAGCTCTTCGTCGCAAGCTGCTCCTCCGTCATCGAATCCGCGCTGCTCCCGCCGTGACGCACCCGCGCTGCTCCGCTCCGCAGAGAGCGATGGTAGTCGAGGAGATGCTTCGCGGTGCTTCCCATTTCAAGCAATCATTCCCCCATGTCCGTCAGTTGTTCTCCGCGATGCTCCGCGCTCCTTCGTCAGCGTCGGATGTCTCCGTCAGTGTCGGATGTTTCCGTCAACGTCGGATGTCTTCGTCAGCGTCGGATGTCTCCGTCAGCGTCGGATGTCTCCGTCAGCGTCGGATGTTTCCGTCAACGTCGGATGTCTTCGTCAGCGTCGGATGTCTCCGTCAGCGTCGGATGTCTTCGTCAGCGTCATGTCTTCGTCAGCGTCGTCCGTCTCTGTCAGCGTCATGACTTCGTCAGCGTCGGACGTCTCCGTCAGCGTCGGATGTCTCCGTCAGCATCGGATGTCTTCGGCAGCGTCGCAAGCGTCGTCGGTAGTACGTTGCCCGTCAGCTCCTCTACGCAATGCTCCGCGCTCCTTCGTCAGCGTCGTTAGCATCGCATAGCAGTAGAGGCCTTGTATGCGTTCGATTGAAGATTCGAAAGCGACGAGAGAGTTGACGGTTTTGCAGCGACAACCTTCTAGTGAGCGGCTGAGCGTCGGATTGAGAGATACGCGAGCGACGCGAGCTGAAGCGTCGCACAGATAACAGCGTTGGCTTGAACGCGACTCCTTCTCGTCTGAAGTAGCGACATCACGAGGAGGTGATAGCTGGAACGTCGCACAGCCTCGTCTGTCGTAGCCTTACGAGTGCGAGGATGGCCAAAACGTCGCACAGATGTAGCGAAGAAACGTAGCGATATAATGATGATGCCTGTAACTTTGCACAGATGATGGCGCTGAGGTAATGGCTTAAACGTCACATAATTCGTCATAGAAAGGTTCCGTAAACTTCAGGAACATTGTCGCACCACGTCGCGTCCAGCTTGATTAATCTTATAATAGCACTGACGAAATCTATGCTTCATACTATACTCTTAAGATCCTGCCAGGCTCTAAGATTCTGCTACCATCCTCCTTCCATGAAATGATAGATCATGAACTAGCGCTGATGAAATTGCTAGGCTCTAAGAATCTGCTATAGTCCTACTATAATATCTTAAGCTTAACGCGCTCCGGGAAGAGACTACGTCACGGAAATTTCCTCCACGTACAGCTAAGCGAGGAAGCCATGGATTCCGGTCAATCGAGTTAGCTCACGGAACATCCTCCTTGAGACAAACATGTGCATGGGAAATGGCTGAGAGGGATTCAGTGAATTGCACCAAGGTCGATTGGAGGCAGAGCAAGCGACGAGAATTGGGACAGGAAGGAAAAGCAAGGTCCGGTACGGTGCGGAAAGTTTCAGAAAGGTGGGAAAAGTTCATGAGGGGTGGTACGGGTTTCGGCAAGTTGAGATAAGGTGGGGCCAGGTGAGGTGGGATGAGGCTGTGTGTGGTGAGAGAAAGGCGAAGGGGAAGGAGCTGAACGGCAAGGAGCGGGAAGTCGAGTCGCGGCTTGTCCAATCCAGCCGAAGGGGGAGGGTCCCCCCCGTCTCGGCAAGCTCGAGGCGCAAGCCGCTGCAAAGCTCGCTGACGAGTTGCGCTGAATGGCTGGAATCCGCGGGGAAGTCCGCCGACGGTCTGTGCCGAAGGCAGGGAGCGGTGGAAAGTGGTGTTAGTCAGGGAGGAGGCCTAGAGTTTTGGCGAGGAGACAGCCTTTTCGCGGGCAAAACCGTGGTATGCGAAATGTGCGTAAGGGCAATTTGTTACCCAGTCATGTCGGATGATCTGGCGGCTGAGCACAGTTATCTGGAGTGGATGATTCGGCTTTGGCATGATGTGGATGGCACGGTTTGCTACTACCAATCAGATATCAGATTCGAGCTCCAATGGATGTGGATGTCATGGCCCAGCCGAACCGCTGTAACCATGTGTCATTCACGAGCTGAAGGACTCGTGTCAGATCCGAATTCAAATTTGAGTCGGTTTCCAAAAGTCGATGATTCGGGCGGGATGCAGCTATCGTCCCCGTTTTGAATCTCCATTCGATAAAATTAGTACAATGAAAAACGTAAACCGTTGATTGAAGAATGCCACTTCTCTGTCCACTTATCAAGAACCTGCCATTACAGCTGATCTTGCTAAAAATGTACGAGATTGGGTATAATCAATCATTTGACTTGGAGGTTCTTAAGTGGGGGCTTGATTGACAATCCTTCCCAGGTAAATGGCTTTTATGGTAATTATTGTTATTTTCAAGGTCCCCCATTATTGGAGGTCTAGTAAAATGTCAGGCACCATTATTCTATCTACTCCATGCACCACCATGTGTGCATCCGTATAGAGGTCTGGCAGCACCACTCGTACACTCCCCTGCGCTCCCAACACTGGCTTGCCCAGCACGATACCCTCCCCTTCCACCTTCTCCATCTCCATCTCCTCAACAAACCCTGTTGTGAATTGGATGCACATGAGGGGAAGTGGGGCGGAGTGGGGGATTGTGGGGTGGGGGGGATGGAAACAGAGGGAGGTGCTGGGGGAGGGAGAGAGGGAGGGCTGTGGGCTGGAGAGAGAGTGGATCGAACGAGCACGAAGCGCCAGCACATGTACGGTCAAAACCCAACATAGTAAGAAATGCTGCTGGTGCGATGCGTACGTGAGCAGAACACCCCAGATACTCAATCACATCTCTGGGGATTCCACAACCACAACACAGCGTGCCACGGAGCACACAGTGCATGCCAAACATAGTCACATTAACAGCTGGAGAAAGCACAGCACACACGCACCAGCGAGTCTGCCGGTAGCGTGGAAGGCGAGCACATTAGCTGTGCCAGCTTCGGGCCGAGAGCGTGGAAGGCGCGGTGCATGACGCTGGCATGCACGCGGTGCATGACGCTGGCGCAGTAGGGAGGTGAAGGCGCAGGGCGTGACGGGAGGCAGGGAGGTGAAGGCGCCGTTGATGGGCGCGAGAAGTGTTTTGCGCATCCGCGATAAGAGAAACGCTGGCGTGATGTTGAATTCTGAGCATGGGAGGAAACACGCCGGGGAAGGGAGGGAAAGTGCGGGGTGTGGGAAAGCACCAGGGGTTGGGGAGGGCAAGGGGGGAGGGAGAAAAGACGGCAGGGGAAGTGATGAGGACAATGGGCGCTTTTAGCAGAAAGCCTGGAGAATGATTCTTAGGAAAAAACGTACAAACTGAAGAAAGGATCTGCAGGAACGAACGTACAAAATGCATGATAACTCGCTTGTTAGCGGAATTGCCCGGAGAACGATTTTTAGGCCCGCAGAATTGTCCGGTACTGACAGCTGCTGGATCCACCGCTTACTAGATCGCTCATGCTGGAAACTATCAGCGTGAGGCGCTTCTGCTTTCCCTCGCAACCCGACGAAGCACGGCACGCACGCACCAGTGATCCTACCATTGATAGCATGGCGTTGACTTCTGAGCGGAGAGGGAAAGGAAACAGGAAGCAGGAAAGCAGGAAAGCAGGAAAGCAGGGAATGTTGCGAAAGCAGGAAGGAGATGGAGGGAGGGGAGAGGGGAGAAGGGGGGGAGGGGAATGTTAACGTGGAAAGAGAATTCTTAAGGATAGAAGTTTTAAACATTGGAGCACATATAGCAAGAATGGTAGACTCACTAGAAACGTGAGGCGCTTTTGCGTCGTTCCCTCGCAACCCGACGAAGCACTGCGTGCACGCACCAGTGATCCTACCATTGATAGCATGATGTTGACTTCTGAGCGCAGGAGGAAATGAAACAGGAAGCAGGAAAGCAGAAAAGCAGGGAATGCATGAGAGAAAGCAGGGACCATTGCGAAAGCAGGAGGAGAGGAGGGGGGAGTGGGAGGGGGTAAGAGGGGGGGGGGTGGAGAGAAAGGGGGAGAGGTAAAATAATTTAGAAGGATAGAAATCTCAAGCTACGCTTGAGCCATTTCCCGCGGACAGCAGACATCGTGAACTGCTAGATTCACAGCGGAAATTTGATTTTACTTAATACTCCTTCGTAGAAACAGGGAGCAACGCGCGTCGCTACTACGCTTTAGCTAGGGTCGAAAGCTGATGGTTCCGAATCTTATGGGATTAGCAGCGTCTGTTGGCGACCAGCAGCAGCGAGAGCCATTTCCCGCTATCATCGCCCCGTGAGCCGCTTCCGCGGCGACTCTTGTAACGAGTAATAACCAACGTCTGTTCGTCGGCGTGTATCCTTGTAACGAGGATTGCCTGTGCCATTATCAGGGAAGTAACGAATGCGCGTAATCTGTACACTCGCGTGCGCCGCGCGGAGGGACATGAGCGATGAAACGGAGACAAACTGAGGCTAGACGAGTCGCCGACGAAATGATCGGTCCAAGTGCCTATCAAATATCCGTTACTAGGGTCGCCAGGACATGATCAGGATATCCAGAGAAGTAGCCGACACTGCCCCAGCGCGACGTTCGGATCTACTAAAGCCATCGCAGCGCGACGGTTCGAATCTACTAAAGCCATCGCAGCGCGTCGTTTGGACCTACTAAAGCCATCGCAGTGAAGTCTCGAAGCGACAATGGCGCGTTTGAAACAGGGGAGTACAATCTCGCAGGAAAACTAGAGTACAAATCATACGGTAATGATCCAGTAGTATTCTGTAATGATCCAGTTGAGAGGTCTCAGTATAAAAAAATCCAACCAAAGGTTCCTTATTTACTAGAAGTTCCATCTACTAATCTAATTAGCTGTCTATGTGGCTCTGTTTGTGTACCTTCTGTCTCTGGTTCTGTCTGTAGTTCTGCCTCTGGTTCTGTTAAATAGATTCTGTCTGTCACACCAGGAAATGCACATCATCTGGTGCATCATTTGACTAAATAAATAACATGCTAGTCCATTGGATTAAATGTCTGCATATGCCTGAACTAAAGCAACACCTATTGCAGCAATAGTTTCAAGGTAATTATCCAATCAAAGTTCCTAGTGATGATCCAGAAATAAATATTAATTTGATGTACTATTGTACTACCCATGCACTGTAGGTGTGCATGGGGGGTTCCTCTTGGCCGCCAGGAGCAAGCTCCCAACGTTACACCCAAGCACCGCGGTGAGGTGGGAACCATCGCTTAGGACCCTGTTGGGGGGGAGGCAGAACACTAAAGGATACTGGATACTGCCCAGGGGCAGGTGAAAATTAATATGTGACTCTGTTGGGGGGGGGAGACAGAACACAAATGGGTACTGGATAGTGCCCAGGGGCAGGTGAAAATTAATATGTGACTCTGTTGGGGGGGGGAGACAGAACACAAACGGATACTGGATAGTGCCCAGGGGCAGGTGAAAATTAGTATGTGACCCTGTTGGTGGGGGAGACAAAACACAAAAGGATACTGGATACTGCCCAGGGGCAGGTGAAAATTAGTATGTGACCCTGTTGGGGGGGGAGACAAAACACAAAAGGATACTGGATACTGCCCAGGGGCAGGTGAAAACTATTATGTGACCCTGTTGGGGGGGAGACAGAACACAAAGGATACTGGATACTGCCCAAAGGCAGGTGAAAACTATTATGTGACCCTGTTGGGGGGGAGACAGAACACAAAGGATACTGGACACTGCCCAAAGGCAGGTGAAAATTATTATGTGACTCTGTTGGGGGGGGGAGACAGAACACAAACGGATACTGGATACTGCCCAGGGGCAGGTGAAAATTCTTACGTGACCCTGTTGGGGGGGGAGGCAGAACACAAAAGGATGCAGGATACTGCCCAGGGGCAGGTGGAAATTATTATGTGACCCTGTTGGGGGGGGAGACAGAACACAAAGGATACTGGATACTGCCCAAAGGCAGGTGAAAACTATTATGTGACTTTGTTGGGGGGGAGACAGAACACAAAGGATACTGGACACTGCCCAAAGGCAGGTGAAAATTATTATGTGACTCTGTTGGGGGGGGGAGACAGAACACAAAAGGATACTGGATACTGCCCAGGGGCAGGTGAAAACTATTATGTGACCCTGTTGGGGGGGAGACAGAACACAAAGGATACTGGATACTGCCCAAAGGCAGGTGAAAACTATTATGTGACCCTGTTGGGGGGGAGACAGAACACAAAGGATACTGGACACTGCCCAAAGGCAGGTGAAAATTATTATGTGACTCTGTTGGGGGGGGGAGACAGAACACAAACGGATACTGGATACTGCCCAGGGGCAGGTGAAAATTCTTACGTGACCCTGTTGGGGGGGGAGGCAGAACACAAAAGGATGCAGGATACTGCCCAGGGGCAGGTGGAAATTATTATGTGACCCTGTTGGGGGGGGAGACAGAACACAAAAGGATAGGCAGGTGGAAATTAATACGTGACCCTGTTGGGGGGGGAGAGAGAACACAGAGCAAACTGCAGTGAGGAGGGAGAGTTTTGAGAGTGAGTTTCGAGACGTCTCTCGAAACTCACAAGAGAGAACAGAACTGCCACCGGCAGTTCACAACTGGATTTGAGGCGCCTCAAACCAGCAAACGAGGTCCTACTCTGCTTCTCTGCAACCTGTGTTCCCTGCAACCCGTGTTCCCTGCAACCTGCTTCACCCCCTGTTCTGCTACCCTGAAACCTGTGTTCCCTGCAACCTGCTTCACCCCCTGTTCTGCTTCGCTGCAACCTGTGTTCCCTGCAACCTGCTTCACCCCCTGTTCTGCTTCCCTGAAACCTGTGTTCCCTGCAACCTGTGTTCCCTGCAACCTGTGCTCCCTGCAAACTGCTTCACCCCCTGTTCTGCTTCACTGCAACATGTGTTCCCTGCAACCTGCTTCACCAGGCAAAGCGAAAAAGGCAACAACCATGCATCAGAACGAACAAACCAGCTAACGCAAGTGCAAAACGAATAAAGCAACAACAATGCATCTGAACTAACAAACAAGCTAACGCAAAAAAGAGGAAAACCATTGGCAGCACATAGTTACTCCACCTCTGTGCTTGTTCGCTCCATCGCTCCCTAAATCGAGAGCAGCAAAGGAGATCCTCACCAGCAGTGGCAGGGGATTCTCCTTTGCCTCCTCTGCTCCTTTGCTCCTTCAAACTTTCGCACGCCTCCTCTCCTCAGCTGCTCCTCCTCCTCTGATGCATCTCCTCCTCCTCTGATGCATCTCCTCTGCAGCAGCAGCACCACCTCGCAACTCAGCAGCAGCACCACTCCCCTTCCAGCAGCAGCGCCACTCCACCGCTTCACAGCACCAGCAGCAGCACATGCGAGGGAGGTAGCAGCGAGGCAGCACAAGGCAGCTAAAGGTAGGTACAGCTTGCACCTTGCTGCTGCCAACTCTGGCCCCTTCTCTGCTCCTCTGCTCTATTCACCTGCTCATCACCTCTCCTGCAGTGGCCTTCTCTTCTGCACACTGGAGGGAGGCAGCATCATTTTCTCCCTCTGCTGCTCCTCTGCTCCTCTGCTGCTAAAACCAGTAATGTCACTGCGGGCCTCTCTTCTGTTCCTACTGCTGCTGTCACTGGTGGCCTTTTCTTCTGCTCGCCGTCCCATCACTTCACAGCACCAACAGCAGCACGCGAGAGGGAGGTAGGAGTGAGCGAGGTAGCAGCTGCCGTCCCATCACTTCACAGCACCAGCAGCAGCACGTGGGAGGCAGTAACAGCTCGCAGCTTGCTGGTGTCGATTTCACAGCCGTGCCTGTGTGCCTTCTCTCCTCCATGCGTTCTCCCCTCCATGCCTTCTCCCCTCCATGCGTTCTCCCCTCCATGCCTTCTCCCCTCCATGCCTTCTCCCCTCCATGCCTTCTCCCCTCCATGCCTTCTTCCCTCCAGCAGCGTTGGGGGGAATCGCAGCTGCGCGGTTTTCTGCTCCTTTGGCCTTCGATCAACCATCACTGTCAAGGTAGGCATGAAGCTTGGATCGGATCTTGCGTTCCGAGCCTCAATTTGATGCGGTGTCGCCGTGAACATTAGCCTCGTAAAATCTTATTCTACCTACTACGTCATCAGATTTAACAGATAACATCTCTTGTAATGAGA